ACACACACACACACACACTTTTTTTTTCCTTTTTGGATTTTATGCCGCCCTGCACTGCAAGCCGTCTGTTAAAGACTTACATGCAGAGTGTGTGTATCTTAGGATGGATGTTAAGAAAAAGTAATCCATGATTCATGTTGCATGCTCTGTGCCCTTGACATGCATCGGGTGTCGGGGCTTGCTTAGAACGTCTTATCAGGTGGAAGCGAAAAGGGACCAGGCCTCAGTGGCTCGCTTTTCAGCATTTATCTGCTCTTGGTGCTCACTCTGCATCAAAAGCAAATCACACGCTATTGGAAAGGCATCTTCCCAGACAAAAATCTATATTTATTCAAAATAAAAAAAATGGAACAGTGCCTTAAAACTTTAACAAAGTCAGTTTTCTGTTATGAAGAAAAAAAGAAATGAAAGAGCATGTTTCGGTACTACATCAAACCTGCAGTGTTTGACTGCACTGTATAAATGATTTTGGCCTATATTGTCAGCACCAAAGTCATGCATCAGCTCAGTGTCTAAACCCCATGGTGCAGCCTTCATCTCCTCTCTGTTATGAGTTACAGTACATACTTGACAGTTTTACTTCAGCTCCCCTCTTGTCTCCCTCCATCCTCTCCCTTCTTCCTCTGTCCTTCTTTTAATCCATTCTTCTTGACTCGCTTGTCTAATTTATTTCTCTTGTCTTTGTCCCCCTTTTTCCTCATTGTCCTGGGTGGCTCYCCAGTCCAGCCCCACATCACCCAGCTGAAGAACGTGACAGCCGTAGAGGGCAGCGCCGCCATGATCTCCTGCGTGGCCGAGGGCGAGCCGCTGCCTGACATCTCCTGGAAGAGAGCCAGCGATGGCCAGACCTTCGTGGATGGAGTCAAGGTAGAAGCTGCCAGAAAGTCCATCTGGCTCTTGTGTGGATGTTTGTGTGCGGATCATCGCACAGCATGTGGTGGGCTTTCAGCATGAGCGTTAAGCAAATAACACATAACTTATGCAAGATAAGTAGGAGGTTTGACAGGTTTGCATACCRCATGTATACAACTCAGGGATAAGGTTTGGATTTTGTTCAGAGGTGCATAAATCTTATTCAGTGATGTCATTTAAGACCTTCTAATGCTTTTCTGGTCCACAAATGTCCATAAGCACAGGGCATTAAGATGTTATGCTGACATATCAACCAAAATGTTTCCTCTAAAGGGAGGGGACGTATCCTGCTTTTAAACCCTCATTTATCATGTTTAAATCATTCAGTTTTGGTCTATATTAAAGTAGAACAGCAAAGCTTTGGTCTGAATTCCTCCCTATTGTTTCACCCCTGTTCTGAGGTGCATCTGAGAGCACCTCATTATAGTGTGGTTCCTTTAAATGCAAATGAGGCACTTCGCACCCAGCCCCCTCCACCTCTTTTGGTCATTTTTTTTGTAGCTTGATTGCAGAGACTCTTGACTCCGCCAGGGTTGTCCCTTGTCTCTGATGCTGTTTGTAGTGTTTATGGACAGGATCTCAAAATGCAGTCGTGGAGAGGASGGTGTCTGGTTTGGGAACCACAGGGTCTCATCTCTGCTGTATGCAGATAATGTGGTTCTGTTGGCGTCTTCAGACTAAGACCTTCAGCRTACACTGGGACGGTTCGCAGAGTAAGTCAGTTCCTCTAAGTCTGAGGCCATGGTTCTTGACMGGAAAAGGGTGGAATGCCCCCTCCAGGTCGGGACAGAGTCTCTGCTTCCAGTGAAGAAGTTTAAGTATCTGGGTGTCTTGTTCACGAGTGATGGTAGGATGGAGCGGGAGATGGACCAATGGATTGGGGCCTCATTCTCAGTAATGAGGGCGTTGCTTCGGACAGTGGTGGTGAAGAAAGAGCTGAGTTGAAAAGCAAAGCTCTCGATATACTGGTCTGTCTTTCTTCCAACCCTCACATATGGTCATGAGGCGTGGATCATGACCGAAAGAACGAGATCCCGGACACTAGCAGCCGAAATGAGCTTCCTTTGTAATGGCCGGGCTCAGCCTTAAGCTGCGTACACACCGAACGCGTTTGGAGCAGCCAAAATGCTCCAGCCGCATGCGTTTGGCTGCTTGTCAGCAGCTGTCCGTTCACACTGAACGCGTCTAAAGAYGCGCAATGGGAGGAGCTTCTTTGTTCTTTTTCCGGTCGATGTTTGAAATGAAGATAAAATAAATAAAATAGCTTTGCTTTATTTATTTAAGAGCAAGAGAACGTTGCGCACAGAGCAGATAATTAATTTACCAGATAACTCAGAKGYGCTCTCACGGACTTTTTTTTCCAGACCAGGACCAGACTAGAGGCTGTAGAGGGAGGAGGGTCTTGGTTTTTTTCTGGTCTGTCTTTAATGACGGGCGAAAGAAAGATGAAATAAATACAATGGATTTGTTTTATTTACTAAAGTTTCACCACWCCAGGAACTGCGAGCTGATCTTTTTTTTCTTTTTTTGCCCCGAGCTCAGCGAGCTGCTGCTGTCTCATCACATCGGTGCTGATCTCTCCAGCTAGAACACCAACTGCAGACTGTCGATTTCAGCTAAAAAGGCTCCTGTCAGTCTGTGTCGGGTTCATGAAMCCGTCACGTGAAAAAATATTCTCTCCCGATCGGTTGCTGCTGCGCGGCGAGCAGCCAAAGTTCAATTTGTTGAACTTTAGCAGCCGCTGCTTTGCAGCTGMCGCATGTGCAGAAAAAYRCTCTGCTGCATGTTGCGCGCTGCTCTCAACTGGCAAAACGCGCCGCTACGTGCTGCGCTGCTCCAAGATGCACATCCACCATAGACTTTGTATGTGAACTGGCTGCTTTGGCTGCTCCAAACACGTTTGGCGTGTACCCGGCTTTAGAGACTGTGAGGAGCTCCATCATCTGGTGGGAGCTCAGAATAGAGCCGCTGCTTCTCCATATCGAAAGGAGTCAGTTGAGGTGCTTCATCTGATTAGGATGCCCCCTGGACGCCTCCCTTTAGAGGTGTTCYGGGCACATCCCACTGGTAGGAGGCCCCGGAGAAGACCCAGGACTCTCTTGAGGGATTACGTATCCTCTCTGGCCTGGGAACATCTCGGGGTCCCCCGGGACGAGTTGGAAAGTGTCGCTGGGGAGAGGGATGTATGGGTTTCTGTTGCCTCTGCAACCCGACTATGGATAAGCGGAAGTGGATGGATGGATGGATGGATGGATGGATGGATGGATGGATGGATGGATGGATGGATGGATGGATGGATGGAGAGATACAATAATCTAGCGATGCAGAAACTTTGTATTTACAAATTGACTAAAAGGTGTCAACAATGGTCGGACTGAACGAACTGAAAAATATGACCCAAACAAAAAATAAAGATAACTACAAGAGGTGTACCAAAAAATTGATTAACATCAGAGTCATGATTCTCATTTACAACTATTTAGAATTGATTTAAATTGTCCCAAAACCGATTTTACATTATTAAAAAAAATAAAGCAAATCCAAAGGCTGTCAGCCTTCATTTTGTAACTACATGAGACGTCCTGACGTCACCACGCAGCCACTTCTGGAACGTATGAATGCACAGAAAGCAGCAAAACAAAGAGGGCACTACAAAACTGGAGGAAAGGGAGATTCAAGCAGCCCTGTCTTTGTTAAAAGCAAATATTTGGGCTCATTTTGAGTTTTACCAAATGTGTCCAAGTTTGACATAAGGTTCACGATGTGCAAGGTTTGCAAAATGAAGATGAAACACAACAAATGGGCTCACATTATCAGTTCTAAATGAAAAATCTATTTTGAATCGAATCCTAGGCCCAAAAAATCAGAATCAAATTCAATTATGAAATAGTAAAAGATTCCCACCCCTAATATCTATGCAGCACAGAGTGACCCTACAGTCAACTTTTCTGCACTCCTAGAGACTCCAAGTAAGTATTTAGGGACTAAAAAGTGGATTTTTCATGATATGTCCCCTTTAAAGATTTTAAGTCCATTTATACTGTATATGCTGTTGTTTAATTCCACAAAACTGTCTGCTTTTGATAAAAAAAAGCACCATTTATGTTCACTCATGTTAGAAATGAATCARTTCTAGCATTTTAAACATTAATACACTACTTGATTCAGGGCTCTCAAGTTTTGATCTGAGCTTGGAGTGAGATTTCGARCCACYGACAGTTTCACTCATTTRCAATGTAGCTRAGTGAAAACAACAAAAAGAGGACATAATCATGCAAAATATGTTAAAATTRTGTTTTAAGCAATAAAAAATTAATAATAAAACCAATTAATAAATTATTATTTAATGATTAAGATTTTCTATAAAAATGAAAACTTGTGTTTTAATTCACTTTACATGAATATGTTAAAGTAGTGGTATTGTGTATTTTCCAGGGACATAGTTCAATTCTATACCACAATCAAGTAACTGTTACTATCAAAAATACATTTGATTTTGTATCATAGTCTATCTAAATGCTTTAAAATTGACCTCTCTCTTTAAGGACCTAAAGTTTGAGGCATTCTCACTTCAGCATGTTTTCCAAAAATTCATTCATTCATGAATGAATGAGTCGAAGCAACAATCTGGGTATGTTTTTGATTAGGAAATGCCATTATAACAGCACCAATGCCTCACAGCAAGAAGGTCCTGGGCTCGATCCCCGTTTCGGACCTGGGGTCTTTCTGTGTGGAGTTTAATGTTCTCTTGGTGCTTGCGTGGGTTTTCTCCAGGTACTCCAGTTTCCCTCACACCTCAAAAACATGTACAATAGGTTGCCTTCAGGCCCAGGCCTCCCTTAACAAAAGAGATCTGTGATCTCAATGGGATTTGCCTGGTTAAATAACGATAAACAAATAACATGATATAAAGCTAAAAAAGTWGATTTTTTTTATCTTACCCCCTTTAATATGAAAATATTAAACATGTAACGCCTACATACTGAGTGATGGACTAAGCACATGCCACTGCACTTATGCAAAACCCAAGCAGAAGAAAGTCTCACAACCACATACGATTTAGACACAATTTCAATAGTTTAGTTACTTTCCATTATGTTCCTGTTAATGATATTAATAACCTGAAATGACTTGGAGCTTATAGTTCAGCATTTATTCACACATCACTACTTATTTTTCCAATAGATTGTTGACTTTTTTGCATAACAACTATGTTCAGTTGTAAATTGAGTCTGAGTTTTTCTCCAAGTAAACCAGCTCACATTTTTCTTTTGATTGGCTTCAGGCATAAAGAAAGACCAAAAACCTTTTCAAGGTGAATGTTTCAGTTTACACTTTAGGTACTTTTCTTTTACTTGACAACCTCTTATGTAATCCAATATGAAATGGATCCAAAGCTTCGATTTTTATGTTTTACTCTGGGAACCCATTATTTACTTTATATAAAATATCAGTTTCACAATTGGAGAAAAGAAATAAAAGGCAACATATTTTTTCTTAAAACAATTATTTTTGGGAACAACTTATCATCAATACAATCCAACTACAGCTATCGTGGCAGGGGTCTGGAAAATATAAAATAAAAGGGAGGGGGGGAGGGGCGGACGTTCTTTTGCTTGAAAAAAAAAGGTCACCGCCAAGATAAATGAATGTGTGCATTGGCTCGAATCGTTTGGGTTGATAAATCACACCCGAAAATGAGAGTAAGTGCTTCTCTTCCCACAGCAAATGCAATTATGGAAATGCGCAGCGCGAACCAACACACCTAAACACACGCAAAGACAAACACGACTTGTGCAGGCGCGAGGCATGATGGATGGCKGCAGTCATTTGGGTTTAAGGCAGGATGTTCCTCTCTCAATTTGCTCTCCAATCTGCATATCCAGGCTGCACACACTCATCTCCTGCTGAGGCACCGGGCTCCAAAAGGCTTATTTTACTCAATACATAATGTT